GCAAGTTACTGTATCTTCCTAACCCTCAGTTTCCTCGTCTATAGAAATGGAGGTAAGGGAACCGGAGGAGCATTAAAAGCGAGATGTATATAAAGAGTATACACACTACTGCAGCTCAGTAAGAACTCAGTTGATGTTAGCGATAATGATTTTAATTTATGCTCTGTCCTTCCCATGGGAAACAGACATAAGCTGTGACAGAGCCACTGTAATGTGTCCATCTGATTCCATATTATTTTCCATTTTTTAAGTACTATAGACTTGAAGTCTATCCAGGAAGTTAGCTTAGGGTCAGGTGACTGAGTTCTGGCCAATGGGATGTGGGCATAAATGATGTACATCACATCCAGGCCTGATTCCTAAAAGATCTTCACGTGTGCTTTCTCTCTCCATCATCCGCACAGCTGGAGATGAAGGACCCTATGATGGCCCAGTGATGAACCACAGGACGGAAGAAGCTCAGATCCCCAAGTGTCTGTATGGAGACAACATGATAAGGAGAGCTGCCCAAACTTCATTGAACTTGGTGAGAATAAGAAATAATTGTTTATCATATTGAGCCACTGACATTTCAGAGCTCGTTTGTTACTGTAGCATAACACAGTCTATCCAGACGAATCACAAATGAAAACGAGTGCAGGGATTAGATGGGGAACTAGCTGATGAAAAAAAAAAATAGTGGATATTCCCAGCCAGGTAGAAATGGGCAGTGTCGATTTTTCAACAGTGGAAAATAATTATCACAATTTAAAAACAAAATTGATTGCAAACTTTGCACACAATTCCCTCCTGGAACCAGACAGTTGTGATCGCAGGGGGCAGGTTTTGTGACACGGAAGCCTTCGTCTGCATGTTCTGATCTATAGAGCCTCCCCGCGGCTCCACCTCCACGTCCCAAACTTTGCGTGAGTCTGTGGATTAAAAACATCCTCTCCATAAATTTCAATAAATTGGCAGTGAATTGCTGCAGTGGGAACATATTCTCATTTAAAATGCACGTCATGGCATGTATCTCGTCTGGGGACCACCTGTCGAAGGAAGCAGCCATTCGTAATTAAGGGTACACTAAGTCATAAATGATTACAGCCAGTCCACATTAGAATGCAGCCACATCTGTTTAGCAAAACACCACGCTCCCTGGACCGTAGCTGTCCTATGCCAATGGGCCAGAAATTAACCCTGTAAAGCTCAAAGGCCTTTGCATATACTGTTCCTGCTGCCTGAAATGCTCACTCTTCGTAGAGCTGACTCTTCTTCATCTTCAGCCCACCGCCCTAAAGTCACCTCTTCAGAGATGTGTTTCTGGACCACTCTTTCTACAAGCGGTACCCATCTCCCTTAATTCTTTATCTCTGTACCCTATCCATTTTCTTTCCTTCATAGCACATATTACTATCTGTAACTGGGATGGGGGGGGTGGGGATACTTGTTTATTCTCTGTTTCTCCCACTAGACCTAAGTAACCATGAAATCCACCCTATCTCTAGAATTAGAATTCCAGATATATGAGCTAACAAAGCCCTTATAGTATTTAAACAAGTTTCAGCTGGGTTTTCTCATATTATAGCTGATTTTACAAATATAGTTCCTCTCTATAGCATTATATTGATGTCTTCCTGACACTAGCTGTATAAATTTAAAATCTTCTACGTGTCAGGCCCTGTATTAGGTACTTTGTTACATTTAATTTTCACAACAACTCTAAAAGTTAGGGATGATTTCATGCTATTTTATAGATGAGGCCCAGAAGGTATCACTTTTTTGTTGGCTTTGCATCCCTTCTACTGAAAGAGCTACCCTCCTGGACTGTGCAATTCTAAAGGAGCTGTCATTCAAGTGTACCACGATGGTGGGCACGTGATTCAGGCTGGCCAATCAGGGCATCTCTCCACCTGGACTCTGTGACTGGGCCAGAGCAAACCCAATCATGATGCTTCCTTGGCATATAAATGGTAGAATAGTAAGACTCTCTCTCGACTCCAGGATCACTCTAGGACCTGTCATCCTGTTCCTACCGGGCGCTATCTGGCTGCCACGCAGGAAGAGCTAAGAATGAAATCTACATTTAGTGAGAGTGAGTGAAAAAGAGGCGAATAGCATCACTTGAGCCCTGAATCCAGCTGTGCCTGAGACACACTCCTTTGACTTCTCAGTTGCATGAAGCAGTACATTCATCTTGTTACCTAACAGGGTCTGAGTTGGGTTTCTGCCACATGCCACAGGAATAAGGATGATGTGAGCACCATGTAGAAGCTCAATGAATACAAGTCTCTCAATTTTCCTCCTTAGAGTGACCGCTCCCCCATTAACTTCACCAATCTATCAGGTGACAACATGCCATCTGTGCTACTCCAGTGCCCCTGATGTTCCTCACTACCCCTAGATGGCCGATTGGTCAGCCCCTAGGCCATGCACATGCTACTCCCTCTATCTGGCTACAGAATTACACCTTTCCAAAGGGACTCCCTTTTAAGTAGACTTCCCGTCCCTTACCCTGAACACGACTGACAAGCCCACTTGCTAATACTGGCAGGGGCCATATCAAGCATTAAGAGCCTCGACCTGGACGGTTTGGCTCAGCGGTTGGAGCATTGGTGCATGGACCAGAGAGTCCTGGGTTTGATTCCCACTAAGGGCATGTACCTCGGTTGCAGTTTGTCCCCGGCCTCAGTTGGGGTTGTGTGGGTGGTGACTACTCAATGTGTCTCTCTCATATCAATGTATCTCTCTCTCTCTTCCATCCTCTCTCCCTCCTGCTCTATCTGAAGATAAATGCAAAAATGTCCTCGGGTGAGGATAATTAAAAAAAAAAAGAAGAGCCTCCAAGCCAGGCAGATTGTCTTTAAAATGTCCCAAGTGAATGAATATTGCCCTGTAAAGAAAGGATTATGGTTTTCCATTCATGTTGAGTTTTATGCTCAAGGAAGCTTCATGGAATGTCTCCCAATCCTTCACAGCCTGTCAACTGTCATATAAGGCAGCAATTAATATAGCCACCAGACAGACGAGAAACCTGAGGCCGAAGATGCAAAGCAATTTGACCTAATAGCAATCATGGGAGTTCAAACTGGAACTGGAATTCTTCCCACCTCGGCCCAGCCTGAGGCAAAGACATGTCCTAATTTGGCAGGCCACAGTTATAAGTATCCATTCCCCAACCCTCTACCATCTCCCAGTCAAATTACCCAATTAAGCCCCATCAGATTAGGTTGCCAGACAAAATATAGAATGCCAGTTAAATTTTAACTTCAGATAATCTTTTTTTTTTCCAGTATAAGCCTAACCCAAATATTGCATGGGAGATACTGTACTAAAAAACATAAATAAAAAATAAATCCATTGTTTAGCTAGGTGTCCTGTAGTTTTATTTGCTAAGTGTGACAATGTTGCATCAGATAGTCACCCGGTAAACCAAATAAGGAGTGAAAGTTGCCATTTCTTTGGAAAGTCAAAGAATTTCAAAGGATTTCGTACCTGGATTTCTTACATGGATCCCCTAACATGCTCTTTAGTACAGAGTATGAGTCTCTAAGGTTTGATTCCAGGGTAGGGTTTGATGTCATGGGTATTGCGAGTGGGATCCCAAACTCTTCAGTCTCTCCCATCCTTTATCCCCCTTCCACGGGCTTCCTGGAGGGGGTGTGTGCAGAAGGAACAATGGTAAGATGGGACTCAGGATGCCACTTTATTAGCAGAGCAGTGGCCTTCCCCACCAGGTGACATGGCCATGGGTCGACTCTGAGCAATCAGATTAGGGGTTTATCTGCCCGTAGGCTAGAAGGAGGTGCCAGGATGGGGCCGGGGAGGGGGCAGGCAGAGGAAGCTGAGCTGGGCACAGAGCGTAGCTGTGTTAACCTCTGATGCTGTCTCTAGTCCAGGATGAAGGAACCGGGTCAGCAGTCTCCTTTGAAAACCAGAACTGAGAACATGTGAATTTGAAAGTTATCTACCAAGCCAAGGTGGGTCATAGAATCAGGGAGGAGAAAGCCAGGTGATGAAAAGAGAAGAATAAAGCTAACACAGAAAGAAGAACAGCAAAGAGGGCCTGTCATTCTCCAGGATCCCACATCTCCAGCTCCCTACTCCAGCTGCAGGGGTGGTCGGCTTTAGGCTGGACTGCGGGGAGGGCAGGAAGGTCTGCACACACAGCCGTCTCAAGTGCCTGTGACCGTCCCAACCAGAATGAGGGCACTGAGCTTCTGTCTTGAGGTGATGGCTGAGTGGAATCGGAGGTGACCTTGGCTGAGAGCCATGGCTCTGCTGTGCAGCCTTGGTACCACGCAGTCTGTTCTATGCCTAATTCCACGGAGGAAAAGAGAAGAATAAAGCTGATATGGAAAGAGGAACAGAAAAGAGGGCGTCATTCTCCAGGATCCCACATCGCCAGCTCCTGATTCCAGCTGCAAAGCCAACTGCTGTCCATCTTCTGAGAACTCTGAATAAATTCCCCATTTGGGCTTTAAGCTAGCTTGAGCGGGCTTCTGGTATACCCATCCTGCCACTTGCTTAACTAAAAGAAAAGCAACCAAATGAGGAAGCAGGGTCCCAGTTCAGTTCATTGCAATTTATTTAATTTAAAAATAAAAACAGAAACAAAAACAGAAAACAAAACAGAAATCAGTTTTCAATGAAAATACAAACACTTTGGGTGGTTATCCAGCTTTTTTCCTTTTTTCTTTTCCCTGTAGGCTGTTCTGGGCTCAAACCAATCAAATGAGTGAAAACCAATTTTGACTGGAGCCATAGAATATGTTGCACCAATTAAATTATACACCAATATATTATTATAATACCTTTGAAATGCCTTTCAGACCAATAAATAAGAAAAGACAAATTCAAATAAAAAAAAAAAAAGTCAACTTTTTATTACCAAAAAAAAAAAAAATAGAAATTAAATAAAAGTCACAACTTGGATTTTTTTTTTAAAAAATGTGCAGTCAAGTTTCTCTCTCTCTTTTTTTTTTTCTTCTAGGAATGATACCGTGCCAGTTAATCCCTACAGAACATTTCCAGTTTGGCAATAAGCAGTCAGTCGATCATTCACATTTGTACTCAAGACAGCAGGCCTGGGCAACCCTCACCTGAGCTCCACCCTGAAAAGTGCTCCCTGTCATCTGAAGCAGCAGCACCTTACAACAGGGATGGAAATTCAGTGAGTTCTTAGCATTTTTCATTCTGCCTGGGGTCTTGCAGCACTTCCTGAAAACTGATCATGCCTTGAAATTTACCTGTAAAAAGAAGTATCCTTCTACTCCTTTGGCAGACGTGTAAACTAAGACACAGAAAGGCCCAAGAGGCAAGGAAAGGCCCAAGAGAGATGATGCCGAACCTCCTGCCAGGTCCACCAGGTCGTCAGTGTCTCTCCCTTATGATTCCATGGACATGAATCCAGCACCACCTCCTTGGCTGGGGACCGGCAGGTGGGGACGCTAGGACTTAATCAGGAAGCAGGGAAGTTGCTTTTCTGGGTTTTCCCCTCTATTCCGAGGTTTTCCTTGAAAAGACAGAGTCAACATCACATCTAGAATCAGAGGACTTCGCAGAATGTTACAACTAGGCAGGGCCTGAGAGACCAGCTAACCCACCCCTCCAGTCTCACCTAAGGGAAAACTCATCCCCAAACTCTGCAGGTGCCTGAGGCCAGCAGCCAGTTAGCAGCACACCAGGAGGACTGTACTTGGAATCCCTGCCTCTGGGCGGAGCACTGTCTTTGCCATGATCCAGTCTGGGTTTATTGACCAAAGAGAACGTATATGTGTGTTTCTTTTTGGAGGGTAGCGGGGAGGGAGAATGGATTTTCTTAATAGTGTCATTTTTATTTAAAGATTAGACGGCTGGAAAATGCTACACAGAGGCAATCCCTTGGCAAAAGGGAAAAATGCCAACCAGCAAGTAGGTGCTAGACCTAAGTCCCACTGACAGCCACCCACTGGGCCCGCTGCCACGCGAGGAGAGCAGCGCCCCGAAAAGGGTTCGTAAAACAAGATCAGGCGCCGGAGCTCGAGGCTGCAGAACGCCCTCCACACACCCACGCAGTTTGCCACCTACAGATTTCTTCTCCTCTGAACCTGTGCTGGAGCTCAGGAAGGAGGTGGGATTGAATGAAAGGAAATTAAGAAGCTTCCCACAATACATTCCTCGGCTCAACCTGACGGAATGTGCAAGACGGATCCCAGGGCTGGTGGCAAAGGGGAGACATGCAGCCATCTCCTTAGGAGAGGGCGGTTGCCTGTTGGTTTTCCCAAATATACCTCCAAGACTAGTCCTCCTTCTGTCTCTAGGTGGCTACCAGAGTTGGTCAACTCGAAATCATTTCCCAGCCCAGCAGTCTGAAGTCATCCCAAAGTCACAAATAAGACCATGAATTCCAAACCCAGTGTCTGAAGACATCTCATTGTGAGAGTGACATCTTGTCACCTGCAATCTGGGCACCTCGACGTCCCAAACCTATGTAGGTTCCTTTTGAAGATAAGCGTCCTATCGCCCTCGTCTCTGCCTCCTCCAGAACCATGGGGTTGACTTCTAGGGAAATGTCTCCTCTTCAGTATGCGACCTCCCACCCACTCTGCTCTCTCAACACCTTCTTCATTTGAATGGGCGAAACTTTCTTTTCCCCCAGAGCCTAGGCATTCACACCCATGACTCAGAATACCTAGATTTGGGGGGGAAGCACCTTCTGCCTGACTTGCCTTTCCTCATCCAAATATCCCACCTACACGCTAACTCCTAGAAGCAAACATGCCGACCTCTGAGGACCCACACGTGGTGGATGGGGAAACCGTCGGGGACTACTAAGCAGGGTCAGCGGGTGAGTCGGTTACTCCTCTGGAGACTGGACACTATCACACCCAGTTCAGAGCATTCGCGCAGGTGAGAATGAACCCAGGAGGCGGCATTCCAGTTAATATTGAGATAGTAAAGAGATTGACAAGCTGTCCCCTTGCTGGTGTGGGTCAATTTCCACTCATCCGCGCAAGGACCACAGAGAGTCCCAAGCTCTGTTACACACCAGTTTTGACCTCTGACACCACCATCCTTTTCCCATCCACCCTTGGGAAGCCGAGCTGAATAGCAAGGCAGACATCAGGAAAGAAGCCAAAAAATCACCATGGGCTGACTCTAAGTCCTTTGCCTCGCTCAGAGCATTCTCTCTCTGATCCAGGCCCTGTCTTCCATTCAAGGTAGAGTAGCAAATTGACAAATGCCACACCAGTAGCGTTAAGAGATAGCGTAGATCCCACAGGATGCCTTAACCTATTTCCCAAGGCTTAGGCAGGTCAAGGACGGCAGCTACACGCCACGAGTGCCACTGCCCCCTCCCGTCCCCATGGCAGCCAGGACTCTTCAATCATAGCACTCCTTCCCTTGTACCTGGGCTACGCACACCAGCACAGCCAGCAGCCACGATCAATCGATCACCGATTCAAGCTCGGGTTGCTGAAATCTACTTGCCAGCCCCATGCAGTCAGGCCAAGCTCGCTCGTGGGAGGAGAGAGGGAGAAAGCTCTGAGCTCACCCTAAGCAGGTGGCCCTGTCTCTCTCGCCCTCCTCCAGAAGCATTTAGACGACTTCTAGAGAAATGCTCCCTCTCCCATATGCTTCCTCCCCACCCTCTAAGTGCTGGCCAATACCACCTCCCCTGGATAGCTGCTCCTCTAGGAGGTGCCATAAGCCAATGCCAATGCCAATTTAGGACCCAAATTCTGAGTGGCAGTCAACAGGACTGGCAGAGAGCCCGCTTCTCCCTTTTAGGTGCTGGCTCAAGGCTGCAACCTTGGCCAAGAGAGATGGCACCAATCCTCATCAGTCTATTGTCATAGCCAGCAAAGAGGTAACCAGTTTGTTAGCACAAGTCATTGCTTCCCTTCCTCCCTCGTACCCACCCCCAGCCCACCCCTGCACCCCGGGGAGCTAGTTGAGTTTGTTGCAGATCTCCAGCGCTTTCTTGTAGACCTGAGTCACGTCATCCATGTCCGTGAGGAGGGAGAAGCTGCTGTCTCCCAGCCGGTTCCGGTACCGCTTCAGGTACTGGGGCCGAGGCCGGTTCTGGAGTCCCTCAAAGTCCTGGATCTGGAGGAAGTTTTCGGCAGAGACACAGCTGCGGATGCGCTGGCGGGCAGGATGATTCTCCTGCAAATCCAGCAGGTCAAAGGAGTCACTGGACAGGACACTGTCATCGCTGATGATGCTGGAAGGCCGGCTGTAGCTGCGGGAGAGGCCCTCGGCAGGGATGCTGGGCTCCAGCAAGGATTCCAGTGTGGGCATTTCGGGGCTGGCGAGGGCCGGGTCCAGGGTGGCTGCGGAGTACTTGCTGCTGTGTTTCAAGATGCCCTTCCTGCGGCAGGAGAGGCTGTGGGCAGTCACCCTGGTGGGGTCCGGAGGGCTAGGGGATGGGACGCTGCTGCCCATCCCATCATTACTGTCCAGCAGCTCCGAGGACTCGCTGCGCTCCGGGGAGGAGTAGTAACCGGATTCTCTCTGCTGCGTCTTTTTCAAGATGCCTTTCTTGGGCATGGTGGCCGACTGTTTGGAGCTAAGTTTTCCTGGCACCTCTGCCTCAGGGGAGCTTGGGAGGGGCCCGCCAGTCCGGCACAGGTCCTGTTCCATCTTGAAAGCAGAGGGTAAGGCGGGACTGACGACACCTTCAATGAAGCCGGTGCTGTGAGAGCGATGCTCGCTGTTGCTTCGCTTCTTCAGGATCCCTTTGGGTCTCTTGGAACTCAGCTTGGATGGGCTTTCGGGCACCGAGTCCTGGCCAGACTGGGCAAAGTCATTCTCTTTCTTGGACTTCTTCAGTGACCGCTGCCGCTCCAGCATGACCTCAGAGGCCCCGGGTTTCGCCAAGTTCTTAATTTTGGCTTCGGCCTCGGCCTGCAGCCCCGTGGAACGGTGGTGCCAGTCGATAATCCGAGCCAGGAGCGGGGACTCGGAGCTGTGAAGGGCATCACAGTCACAGACGCTGCTCTTGTAGCCCCAGTTCACCCACCAGTGGTTGGCGATGTCCTCGATGGTGGCCCGGCGGTCAGGGTTCACCATTAGCATCCATCTAATGAGTCCTCGAGCATCTGTGGGACAAGACGGAAGATGCCTTAATGGGAGCTCTTGGCTTTGTGACAAGGATGACAGTCCAGGATGGCTAAGGACACATGCTCACTTTCAGAAAACTCCAATCAGAGTCTCGGTCCAGCCAATGTCTTCCAGACTGTATCTCAAAAGCCTCATCAAAACTTAGAACCACACTGCCCTGGCCAGTTTGCAGCATCGGCCCGCGGACCAGAGAGTCCCAGGTTCGGTTCCCGCTAAGGGCACGTACCTCGGTTACAGTTTGTCCCCCGCCCCGGTCAGGGTCGTGTGGGTGGCAACCAGTTGATGTGTCTCTCTCACATCGATGTTTCTCTCTCTCTCTCTTCCCCCCTCTCTCCCTCCTGCTCTATCTGAAGATAAATGCAAAAATGTCCTCGGATGAGGATAAAAAAACAAACTTACAACCACAGGCCAGTGCACCCTCACACCCTGGCATGTTTTTGTATATTTGGGAAGGAATATTGTGAACTACTGAGTTCTCTGTCAACTCCAGTCTTTATAAAATGGTCCAGGCCGGGTACCTGGGAAAGAATCCAGACCCAACCCCAGCAGGGCCCTCCTATTCCTTTGGTGGATATCATTTCACCAAAAGGGAAAACAAGTCTAGGTTACTAGGGTTCTCTTTAGTCCTCCAAAGGTAGGCTTGTATAAACATGCAGTGCTCAGGGTCATCGGGAAAGTGTGTAGGAACGCCAAGGACATTTGGGGCGGAGACGGCGAGAAAAAGACTCCTCATCAGAGAGGAGAAGACAGAGAAGGCTGGCGAAGAGCTCAGACCTGGCACACCTGGGCAGTGAAAGGGGCCATGCCCAGGTTGGCCCTGGCCAGGTTCTGAGACCCACGCCCGATGAGCTCACCTCCGCTCCCTCTCTGACATAAGCCGTAGTGTGCTGCACTGTCAGATCAGAGAGCTGATCTGTCTGCTATCAGCTTACCGCCCGTCTGACAAACTCCATTTGCAAATTTCTGCTGCCAGAGAGTTAGAGGAATGCCCCAGAGGGATGTCCAGGAGGCCACAGGAACCCAATGACTCTCACAGCTTACAAACTGACTTTAAAGATCCAACTGCGCTTCCCCCGTGCGGGTTGAATTACATCCTGGGAAGGCGCCACCTCCCCCCAGCCACTTCTGTGAGCCGACGAGTAGCTGGCAAGGGCCTGGCAAGGGGATCCAGGGTAAGCCACACCCCTGAAAAATGACAGGACGACGTTCATTCGGACATTCAACAAAATAGTTTCAACAAGTACGTGCCAGGAACCCCAGTTAGCTGGTGAAACAAATAAGACCGCCCTAGAGGTACCCTGAAATGTCTCAAAAAAAAAACCACCCAAACCAGATTGGCTTATTGAAAAAAATATATACAGAGATATGAATCTATCTATACATATGCAATAGTCAATCCTCATTATTCACAGATTTCGTCTGCACTTGTAAATTCGCCTGCTCGCTAAAATTTATGTGGGACCTAAACCTCAGTAACTGGTCGTTGGAGAACAATGACAGCGTGGACTGCCCCGACATGTGTGTGTGTTCCCAGCTGAGGCCCAGCGAGGGGACAACACTCTGCCCTGTTGTCTCTGTTCTTGTGTCTTACCAAGTGCCCTTTCCAGTCTATTCGGTCCATGTTTTTCACATTTTTGAACCTTATGTTGGCGGTTTTGCAGTTTAAAATGCCCCCAGGTGCCTCGAGTTCCTCAGGACAAGAGGCTGTGGGTGGGAGGCAAGTTCGTGCAGGCGTGAGGCCCGGTGCTGGTGGCCGCGGGTCCGATGTCAGTGAATCAACAGTGTATTTTAAGTGAGGCGTCTTTAAACAGAAACAGCCATGAAACAGGGTTCTCTACTGTTCAGTGGACAAAGGCACTGGGAGCAGAGGAACGGAGCCCTGGGTCTCCCTGAGGAGCAATGCCTCGGCACTCACAGCGCGGTGTTCACGGCAACCTCACAGGACGTAACCACATGAACAGTGAGAATCGCCTGTGTGTGTGTGTGTACACGTGTATGTAGATACATGAAGTGTCTGTGTTAACTGGATTCCAAAAACGGCCCCTTGTCACACCTTTCCATTCGCTGTGGCGCCCTCCCCTCAAGAGGTGGAGCTATGGCTCGGCTGCCTTGACCAATGGGAAGTGGCAGAAACGGCATTACCTGGCCTCCGCACACGGGCACGGAGAAGGCCTGGCAGCTTCTTCTTCCCCGCCTTGGAGCCCTGAGCTGCCAGGTAAGAGGTCCAGGCTCCCTCCTGCACTAAGAGGCCTGGGGAGGCACCTCATGGAGAAAGAACCCTCACAGGGGTGTCTAAAAATCAGCCCCCGCCCCAGCTGCCATCCGATTACAGCTGCAGGAGCAACCCAAGCACGGCCGGAAGAGCTCTAGCCAACCTGGGGAACTGAGGGGTGGGTTACCTGGTTATTTGGGGGGTTGGGACAGAGCTGTTACACAGCAACAGGTAAGGAAACAGCGCCCATGTGCCATGCCCTCAGCTGGGCACAGTGGTGCAAAAGGGCAGTGGTCACCTCATGGCACTGACAGTCTGGTGAGGGTGGTTTGCATTCTACATGGACCGGAAGAGACTTCATGTAATACCTTTTCCAGATGCTTAATTTTTAGGGGAGAAACTGAACCCAAACTGGGTCAGGGATTTGCCTAAGGTCACACAGCCAGGGAACGGGGCTCCGAGCCTGCCTGCCGTGTAGAATGTTCACTGTGAAATGTTCCTTCGGGAACATTTGGGTAAAGCAGCCTAACAAGCCAGACTTGCCAGAAAGCAGAGACCTGGGGGGAGGAGGGAAAGGCAGGAGACGCCTCACAGACACTAACAGAAGCAGAAAGCGCGAGCTAAGGCAGGTAAGCCCACCGCTCCCCCTCAGCCTCTGACCCTCCGAGACGCACCTGAGGGCTGCGTGGGCTCCCGGTACTCGCCGCTGCTGATCTGCCGAATGAGGTTTTTGTGATCAAAACCATCGAAGGGCATTGTTCCATACACGAGAGTGTAAAGCAAAACGCCCAGGGCCCAGCTGTCCACCTGCAGCGGAGAGAGAGGACATACAAGAGCTGGGAAGCAGAGCCAGATGCCTTCCAAACCATTAACATCACAGTGTGTGAGCAGCCACCCCCAGCGACCCCAGGAACTGAATTTAGCACCTGGCAGACAGGTTCCCATGGCTGCCTGACAACTGATATGTGGTGCACCTGGTCATTTCCAATTCAAACCGAGACCCACACGGTCCCAACTACATAAGAACGTTCTCGAACAGATGACCTTCTTGATACTCATTATAATTTTGTGAAATAGGGAGGGTCTGGATGGCTGTCAGCCCCGACTTGACAGACGAGAATACTGAGGCACAAGGCCCTAAGGGGCTTCTCCAGAGGCCTCACCCCAGTGACAGAGGTTAAGACTGGGACGCAAGGCTAATCCAGGAATCAGTTTCTTCTTGTATCTTCCAATGGATCGGGCAGCAAACCCTAGTGCTTACCGGAACCAGGCAGACAACAAACATGAACAAAGCCGGAGAGAATCTGGGGTACAACGCGGAGTGTTGGGGACAGAGACAAACTATAGACCCCATTCACCCATCTTAAGCAGGCAGCCCCCGCTTGGCTAACTGCTGCCTCAAAGTGACACAGACCCGGAACTGCTGGATCCTTTTGTTTTTCAAGAGAAGTCAGAAACCAGACTTTATGTGAAATCTCCCGGTTATTAAATGTTCGTTCCATTTTCTTAGAGAAACGAATGTGGCCAAATGCAGCATGCTCGCCAGCCAGTTTTCAGGCTGCCGGCTTGTAACCTCGGAAACAGATCCTCGAAGATCAAAGAGGCATTCGTTATCGATGATAAATTTCCAGTGTCGAGTTTCTACAGTTTTGTAGATGGAATCCTATGCTCCGCCCTTACATTCTTACTTCAGAAAGACTTTCTCTTCACTGTAATTGGCAGAGGCTCTTGGCACCCCTCTCTTCAGCCTCCAGCCCTGCCCCCAAACACTCTCGAACAGATAAATATTTGGAAGGAAACATTTCAACCCAGTGAACAGCTGCTATTTAAAGAATACTAAGTGGCTGAAATCTCTCTGTAAAGAGAACCATCTTTTTTTCAAAGAAAATAGTCACTCACGACTCACCCGCTTTTAAAATAACATTTCCACATAACACATTTTTTGCAGCGGCCCTGAAGGCTTCAGGCATGTAGAAAAGTGCATTTCTCGTGAATTAGGAAATACAATTAAAATGTATTCCTTCATCAGAAAATACAGGCTGTCAAAATTCTTTGCAAAAAGACAGTCAACTCCCAGAGTTAGGAGGGTTTTGGTTTGATGTTTGTTTTATCAGTTTTGGTATAATGAGGAAAAAGTAAAAATGATTTGCCTAAATCTTGGGAAGTGATTAAATTATGGTATAGTTATTCATACAATAAAACTTTGTCACCATTAAAAACTAAGTTTTTAAAAAAAAATTCAGAAAATGTCACAAAATAATGTTTAAAAAAGGCAAGGTATATATACACATACACATATACAAGGACCTCAAATCATTTTTATTGATTTTTACAGAGAGGAAGAGAGACAGACAGACAGACAGACAGACAGACAGACAGACAGACAGAGAAACCAAGAAATCCGGCATGTGCCCTGGCCGGGAATCGAACCAGCAACCTTTAGGTGCATGGAACGACACCCCAACCAACTGAGTCACATGGGCCTGGGCTCAATTATTTTTGAAATACAGAGATTTACACTGGGGAAAAAAAGTCTTTAAAAAAGTCACAAAAATATTAACTGGTTATCTTTTGTGGGTAGATTGCAGGTAACTTTATTTTTTCTTTTAGGCTTTTCTGGATTTTTCAAATTTTCTCCCAAGGGTGTATGTTATGGCTTTTGTAATTATATATGGGAAAGTTTTCTTTGCTTGTTTTTAGGGGGTTGTTTTTAAAGTATTTCCTGGATCCAGCTCTTGCCCTCTGGCCTTTTCTCCCCCCAAGCCCCACCCACAACGGGCAACCAGCTCACCTCTGGCCCGCGGTAGGGCCTCCCATTGACAATTTCAGGAGACGCATAGAGTGGGCTCCCACAAAACGTTTGCAAGAACTTGTCCTTCTGGTACAGGTTGGAGAGCCCAAAGTCCGCGATCTACAGAGACAAGCGAGATCCAGGGCGGCTTGTTAGCGTCCCTTAGCTACTCTTAAGACTCCGTTTCCCCACCAGAAGATGGGAATCCATGATCCCTATTCTGTTCCAGCTCACAAGATCATTGAGAATGATTTTTTTCTTTAAATCCATCCAAATGAGACCATGAATGCAAAAGTGCTTTATAACCTTCGAGTCTTCAAGCCCCATGCAAACGTTCCACCTCGCCTGCTGCTCTTGTACTGCACACGGATGGAAGTCATTCTCCTTTGTTTACTTGCTTCAAGTGTTTTATCTATTATTCTGTGGCCGCACACTTCCCAGTATCTATATGTATTTGTGTATATATTTTTCCCACATATATATTAACATACACATATAATGTGTGTGTGTGTACATATAAAGTGTCCGTATGTGTGTATACATATGTGTGTATATATATGTATCTATAAATATATATGTATCTATATCTCTATATCTATATCTATCTATCTATCTATATATGTTTTTTTTTTTTCACCCTGTGTATTAGACTCTGAGTCCCTTGAGGCAGGTAGCAGGTTCCACATCTTCCCCTCACCTTTGTATCACCCACTTCTTAGCACCTTCCCTCACCCAATGTCACTAGAATAGGCATTATATTTCGGAAAGTATAAGATAATTAGTTGACAATATGAAATAACAAAAATAAACTTAGTTGCCGCTTACTGAACAACCTCCAAGTATCAGGCACTGTGACACACTCTGATCTAATCCGATCCCAAACCCCATTCACACAATGTGAATGTGCTTCAGGCCACGAACTGTACATCTAAAAATAGTTAAAGTGGTCAATTTTATGTTGCCGATATTTTATCACTTTAAAAAAAAAAACAAAAAAAAAAACATTTAGCCGATGAGGAAACTGAGGGTTAGGGAGCCGAGGTGGTTCATCTCAGGCGAGCTAACTAGCAAGCGTCCATGCAAACCTGTGTCTCTAACGTTTCCCACACGGAGCCCCTCCGCCAGGGACAGCTACTCCACCCCACTCAGCCTTCCCTCCGCCCTGCAAGCGGAGCCCAGGGCTTCTGCCATTCCCCAGGCTGATTTCCATTCGGGCGGAGCGAGTCACATGCCCAGAGCGCAGCCCAGCCCGCCTGTGAACGCGTGGGGCTCTGTTGTGAACGTAGCCCCCAGAATAAGCCTATTTTGTGAAAGTCGGCCCTGAATGAATGGAATGTCATTGAAAGTAGCTGGTGAAAAACCGCCCTCAGAAAGCGCATTCTCAGGGTCAGATTGCACTTAATTGCCCCGAATTCCACTTTCTTATCAAGGCCCCTGCCTGGCTTGCTCTCAGGAAGTTGCTGGGAAGCTCTGTGAAGTGTGCCCTGTCAATCAGAGGACAATGAAATGGCTACAGTCCTGGGACAGACCGAGAAGGCGCAGGCTTCATCCTCTCCAACTGCCGCTAAGGCAGGAACTGTATCACAGCAAGTGCACACCCCGAGGAAGACATGTTCCTGCCCCCCGCAATGTCGGCAGCATCCGGGGCGCCTAGGAGCTTCCAGATGCACACGCGTGTGCAAGGCACCTGCCAGCTCCTCGTGCAAATCCCTGCGCGAACGCACCCACACCAGGAGTTCTCTGAGTCCGCGCATCCTTGCTTTCTTTGCAGCCCTTCTGAGAAGTGTGTTTATGTTGTACCCACCCCCATCCTCACAGACTGATGTTTATCAGCCTCTCCCAGTAAAACTGTCAGGGCCGCTGACAGAAGACGAATAGAAATCTAGATTAGTCCATGTTCTTGGCACTCCGGCGGAAAAGCAGTATTAATCAACACACACACGCACACACAGTTTTCCAACCTTGAGCCACTTAAACATGGGCTGTGGCTCTAGGTTTCATGCCCTATGGAGCTTCCATGAAGTGGCTGCTGGTTATGCAACTTCTCAAAGCCTCAGTTTTCTCATCTGTAAAATGGAGGTAGGGATAGAATCTGCCCCCACAGGGTCATGGTAAAAATTAACATAACGTGTGTAAAATGCTTAGAACAGTAACTGGCACAGAATTGTAGCTCAATAAATATTTGCTTCCCACCTTTAAATCCATATAGGTAACTTTAGTAACTTCATGATACTGGTTTTCCATATAAGGGGATTACAAAAGGCTCCTATTTCAAATAGATACAGTTTTTAAAAGTGAATTGAACTAAAAATATTAAGTAAAACAGCACGGGAGATACTAGGGAAAGGCAAAATCCAAGAAGAAAGTGAAAGAAAAGAAATTTGGGGAAAGCTAAAGCATGGGAAAATAATGATTTTGAACATAATAAAACAAAAATAACCAAAATCTCCAAAAAAGGTTTCAACCTGACAGAGCCCTAAGGGCCACGCTAATCCTACCCCTCATTCTGTGAGGGAAGCGTGTGGAGTCAGAGGGCGTAAAAGCTTTGCTGAAGTCACAGAGACAGACAACCCCACGGGCGTCAGATTCCCCCCAATCCGTGTTTTCTCTGTATCAGAGCACCAGCGGTGTACAAAGAGGCATCTGGGCTTCCCTTTAAAAGTCACATTTTGCTGACACACTGGTCACCTCTGGTGATGGACTGTTCCCCCGGCCCCTACTGGTTCGGAACCACGCTCTGTCCCCGCACTGGGTTCAGTTCAGCCTGGACTCAAGGAAACGGGGATGTCAGCACTCATGTCTTTAACTCTGGGAGTTTGTGCTGTTCCCCAGCCTTTCTGGAAGTGCACCCTGCCAGACAACATCGGAGTTAGAAAGATAAACTAGGGAATGATCATTCACAGTTCAGAAGAATTAACCTCACTGCAACATGGATGGACCTGGAAGACACCAGGCTAAGTGAAACAAGCCACACACCAAAGGATAAATGCTATGATTCCACTCACATGTGGTACCAAGTAGTCAAAGTCATAGAGACAGAGAGTGAAATGATGGTTTCCAGGGGCTGGGGGGAGGCAGCAATGGGGAATTTTTTTTTAAAGGGTACAGAGTTTCAGTTGGGAAAGACACAAATGTTCTCGAGATGGACAGTGGTGATGCGAATGTACTTAAAGCCACGGAATGTACTTAAAGCGTACACCTAAAAAATGGTACACTTTCTGTTACATATATTTTACCATTTAGTAAAAGGATTAACCTCAGATCACATGAATAGTCACTGTGAGCTCCCCCGATGAAAAAGGAAGTGTCAGCTTGCTGATGATTAACTGCTAGGAAAGGATGCTGGTGACAATGACAATACAGGCAATGGTCTGACAGTCACTTGCAGTGTCTAAGAGGAAATGCAGTCGGCTGAACAGATCAGAGGTTCAGGAGCCAGGAGAACCTGGGGCCAACCGCGGGCTTAGCACTGCTACGTGATTGCTGGGACCTGCCAAGTTACCCAACTCCCTCATCTGCAAAATGGGGATAATAATAGACCCCACTCCATAAAGGTGTTGTGAGGATCAGAGAACATGCATGTAAAGCCCTGAAATGATCTTGGTCCCAGCCAACTCCATGAGTCACAGCGGTTACAATGATGCTGGTGATTCGGTTTACTGAGCACTGTTTGCCAGGCAAGACACAGAGCTGAAAACACTGTGCCACACGGCCCACCAAAGAGCTGAAGTCACCCTTCATTTCTGAAAGAAGAGTGAGAGGCGGCAGGCATGAGGGGAAAAGTAAGGGATGTCGAGCTTGAGTGTTTGAGTTCCAATCCCAGCTTCAACTCTTCCCAACTCTAACCTTAGGTGCATTCGTCAACTCCGCCCTCCTCCCGCGAGCTCTGAGGACCAGGAGCATGGGCAACGGCTGGGGGTCAGTAAGGGAACTGCAGGAGCCCCGTCACCCCGGGCCTACGGAGTCAGGTTGTATTTTAACAAGATCCTCAGGGGATTCGACCAACATTAGCCACTCTGAACCTGGGTTTCTTCATCTATCCACCAGGGAATGATGACAACGTAACCTATTGTGCAGGGCTGATGTAAAATCGAATGAATGACAGACAGATGGAAAGCATGCCTTGCATGGCCCTCAGTCAATGTTGGCAACTGCTGCTTGAACCTCTGAGTCTGTTTCCTGCTGGACACTGGAGCACAACAGCACCACGTGATGCTGTGAAAACCAAAATCAGATGACATGAGATAAGAGCAACAATGACGAATCATAACAATAGCCGCATTGCTACAGGCCAGTCACTAGTCTGTGAGCACTGCATATATGGATGTGTTATATCCTCACAACACTATGACGAGGGTGCCATCATCATCCCCGTTTCGTAGATGAGGAAACTGAGGCCCAGAGCGGACATGGAGATGGCCTGAGACATGCAGGAAGAGCTGCCTTGGCTTAAAGCTCCACAGAGGGGGGTTTCTGCTCTCAGGTGGCCGAGGGGGAAACAGCTTTCGGCAGAACTCTTCAGGAAGATGGCAGCCCCTTAAAGAGGACACGCCACAGCTCCTTTCTGGCCATGGAGGTAATGGCTGTGGCTTTACCCACGACAGCCTCCCTCCCACATTGTCAGGAGGGGGAGGCAGGGAGGAACGGTGAGCAGAAGGGAAGGAGGTCGGCTTTCATCTTCAAAAGATCTGAGCTCACCCCGCCCCTCAAGAGAGCCGGGAAACGACCGACTCCACGCGACCTGGGGACGCTCTCAGCCGAGGGTGCCTCGGAGGTGAATGAGCAACCCCCTCGGCTCACTACACATTCGGCTCCAGCGTCCCTGTGCCTGGAGTCCCCCAGGGCAGCTGGACACAAGCTGCTACACACAAGGTGAGGCCAACAGAGGCAAGGACCAAACCGTGTCCTCATGGGACGCCTTGGTGGACTTGGGGCCCATCTGGGTGGGAACAGTCACGGATAGACTTTATCAGGTGCCCGGTCTTCAGAGTCCAACAGCCGTAGCTGTACCCAGCCCCACGCTTACTGGCCATGGGAGCCTCCTCGTCTGCAAAATGGAGTAATCAGACTCTCCCCCGGTGAAAGAAGGCACAGGGAAGGTCTGGCTCTGGCTCTGGCTCTGGCTTCTAGCAAGGGCTCAATAAAGGTTGCTTTTTTCCCCTAGCCTCCATGCCCCGTTCCTGTGCTTCTGCTCCCTTCCCCTTGAAAGTCTACCACATGCCTCCCTGTTGAACTTCTGTGCTTCCAAATCCATTTCAGCCAACACTTCCTCAGCAAAGGCTTTCTGGTCCGTCCGGCTAAGAGACCCTCCAGTTCTGCCCAGCACCGCCAGTGCTACACAGGCGCTATAGACACACGGCAGGGCCCCTGGTCCTGCCCAGGGACAAGGATCAGAAAGGGCCTCCTGGAGGAAGAGGCGTTCAAGCTGAGGCTCGAAGGACAGACAGGCAAACAGCATTCTAGGCAGAGGGAACCACGTGTGCAGAGGCCAAGAATCCAGAGAAAGCTCAGTGGATGCAAGGAGTTCGAGTCCTATGCCAGAGGCCCTCTCTGGCCACCCTACCTGCCATCCTCCAATGTACCCCTGCAGGAATTTTCTTCACTGCCGGACAGTTACAGTATATATATACTGCTTCTGTCGGGAACTGAAAGTCTAAATCCATTAGGGCAGGTACCTGATTGTCCTCATCCTTCTCATGACTCATCACGACTAATGGTTTAACAAGTGCTAGGTTCTGAGCTCCAAGAAGACAGGAATCTGGCCATCAGGTTCACTAGTGAAATTCCCAGCATCCAGCCCAGGGCCGCATCCCCAGTAGGAACTTAGTAAATATCTGTGGTTGAGTAAATACTGCCCACAGAAGAGACTCGATTTGCTGAATGAATGGATGAGTGAGTGCAAGCCCGCATGGATATATGTGTATACACTCACATCAAGGGGCAGACGATCAAACAAACGGATGCATTGATTAATGCATGAATATACATCTCGCATGTGTCTGCTCAGCCCGGAGGCGCACAGCCCAACTGCCTCGCTTGGTCTTGTTAAGCCTCAGAGGCTTCTACCTCGCCTGAGCCCTCGCCATTCAAAGCTTCTTTTCTTATCCCCAGCAGCTGAGTTTCCATTGTCATCAGGGGCAACAGGCCCTTTCCCCGACGCCCCTCGACTCTGAGTCCTGGGAGCTCACCAAATTCCCAGCCCCCTTCGAGGAGGTCCCCTGACCCTGGTGCCTGGACCGCTCCTCATTGCAAGGCATTGTTCAGGAGCCTCCCATGGGAATTGTCGGCATGCCGTTCTCCCAGAGAATGGGATGTGAATCTGGCCCGTTTTTATTCATTGCAAATTAATGCTATGCTGGGTGTCTATTTTGGTAGACATGCTTCTCCTCGGAGTACGGAATGCAACCCAAAGCAGCACATCGCTCTCATTCTTTCTGCTGACCGACTGGGTGAATATTTTTAGAAGCCACACCCTCTCGCAGTGGCCAGATCAGTAATTCCCAGTGCCAGATGTGCTCTTTGCAAATCAACATCAGGCAGGGAAGGGATGAGAAGCAGCTGCCCGGCTCACACCGCAACTGCAGCGACATGGGACAAGTTTAAACCAGGAGCATTTGTATAGGCTTCCTGGGTGGCAGCCCCTACCCCTGAAATACAGAAGATGCACCCACAGTTCGAGAGATGCAAGAGGGGGCTCCAAGAGGCACCTCGCTGCTCATATCCCACTGTTTGGTCATAGGTTGTTAACGTCAATGGTCTCCCGGTCCAGACACTGCTGACATGGTCCCTCTTGGACTCAGAGGCCAGCTTGTGGCCATGTGTCTGTGCCTGCCTACCTTTATCACAAGTGTCCTTTATAAATATGTTTTCAGCAAAATGCTGACTCGGGAAGAGCTGAGCATATCCAGCCGGAAGACAAATCAACACCAGCTGAAACACATTTTTAAAAACCTTGGAAGTGGGTGGGAGACGATGAAAAGAGAATTTGTCTGGGAAGTCAAACATGTGAGTCCTAATCCTGGTTGTCATCCCTTCACTCCAAATCAAACAGCTTCAGAGCACCTACTGTGTGACGAGCACTGTGCCACGCTCTGGGGAAACAAAGACACAATAACCAAGTCTAGGCTGATTCACTGTGTGTGATCCTGGCCACATCCCTGAGCCCTTCTGGACCATAATCATTAAGACAATGGGTTTGGAAATGACCCTCAAGGTTCTTTCAAGCTGTAGGAGTCTCAGATCCTAGCAGGATGCCTTGAATAAGCAGAAGGAAGGATTTGTGTCAGAGATGGGAAGGTCTAGTTTCTGTGTGGGAGGTGTGTGTTTTTCCTTGCTAAGTGCCAGAAATAGAAAGCCTTAAGAATTAAGAGTCCCAAAGAAACAGATATGACCAAAAGCTTAATTTCTATAATGTGCTATGTGTCTGCTATTTTCCTACGTAAAGGACAGGCTCCTAGTTGAAGGACTCGGAGCTGGGAGCTGGGAAGCCCACCATCACGGCGCTATTGCTTACACAGCGAGCCTTCTCCTGGGCTCCTGCCTATTGTCCCCAGCACAATGGCTTTCAGAATTCTAACCACTCTTTCCTCTGGGCAGTTCTGACTCCCGAGGAAGCTATGCGCCTTATCGCTTCTGGGACTACATCATGGGAGCAAGAGGTTACTCTGTGCTACAGAAGCCAATCCCCAAGTGACAGGCTCACATTCCAGGCCTTGTAAGACCACATTTAGTTTTGAGAGCCCTGGGGGCAGGTGGAAGGAAGAATCTGCAGAGAAAGTTACCAGAGTGGATGACACAAACTCTCAGAATGTGTCCCTAAACCAGAACCCAATTCTCTACCAATGGCCTGACCACCAGGTACCTTCAGAGCAACTGACTTCCTGTTCAATTTCCTCTCTTAAGCAAGCACCTTGGACATTACGAGTTAACTGCTGCCCGGCTGGTGTGGCTCAGTGGTTGAGCGTCGACCCTGCACCAAGAGGTCGCCAGTTCAATTCCCAGTCAGGGCACATGCCCAGGTTGTGGGCCCAATCCCCAGTGGGGGGCATACAGGAGGCGGCCAGTCGATGTTCTCTCTCATCGATGTTTCTATTTTTCTCTCCCTCTCCCTTCCTCTCTCTCAAATCAATAAAAGAAAAATAATTTTTAAAAAAAGAGTTAAGTGCTAAGTGCTTTGACTATATATTGTCTAAAATCCTCATGTTCGTCATTGACTCCGCAGGACTGGAACAGGGCATGTCACACAGTAACTGCTCAGGAAATACTCATAGAAAAAAATTAACAAAACAACAACAATCATCAGAGACAGGGACTGGTAACCCTACTGGACAAATGAGGAGACTGAGACTCAGACAGGCAAGTAATTTGACCGAAACACACCATCAGCAACGGGCAGGACTGTGATTCAAACCCAGGCTGTCCAACTCCAAAGCAAACTGCTCTTGACCTGGACTCGCTGCACCGTGCTCAGCAGTTCATAAAGCTAAGCACAGAGTATCCCACTAACTCCTCGAAACAAGCCTGTGGGCATTACTGTTCCCCCATTTTATAGCTGAGGAAACGGGGTGAAGTCAACTGCCCAGTGTCAAGGAACTAGTAAGTCACACAGGATGGAATTTTCAAACTGCATCAGGGCTCCTCCTCAAACACTCCAGCTGCTTTGCCAGAATTAGAGGGGCCTGAGATTTCCCTTCCTGTTCCTAGAGAAACTGCTTTAACCCACTGTTTCCGCCTTATTCTAAGGACCACACAGAATTATGTGACCACAGTCAACTCCTCGCAAGAACAAGATGTGACCAGACATGGCTTCCAGGGGCCTCTCGAAGGATGGTGGTGAGTAATGACGGTCACCGAGATCCGCACGTGGATCCTTCCAAGCAAGGACACGGTCGCCCCGTGATGCACCTCCTTGACTTAGAGCAACAACAGCCACAAAGAGGACGATGCAAGGTCATTCCCAGGCTTCGTCCGGGGACCAAGGGTGAGGCACTAATGTCACCAGCGGCTAGAGGGATCCCCAGGTGCTGGGGGCACTAAGGCCGTTTCATGATGAAACCCACGCGGCGAACTCCGTTTATGTTGAAACCGTGTTTGCTTGTTTTGCAGATGTGATCAAAGGGGCGTTCCGAGTGCTCTGCAGGAGGCACCTGGACCCTACTGGCCCGGAGGACTTTCTCTGGCTCCAGCAGCAGCCAGCAATAATACTCCCCACAAAAGTAAACTCCATCACTTGACGGGAGGCTCTTTCCCGACAGCGAACGCCACCATCATTTCAGTCAGCTTCCCAGGTTCACGGCAGGTCTCAGGGGTGAGACAGTCGGGAGGGAGAAGCAGGAGACACGGGTGAGAGTGACAGAAAGGGCAGGGAAAGAGTCACATCTCTAAAATAACTTGGGGCCCGGCTGGCAAATCGAGCAGAGTGGTCCAAACACGGGCACATGAGTCAGACAGACCTGGGTTCAAACCCCAGCTCCACTACCTACCACCGTGTGACCTTGGGTAAGTTACTGAACTTCTCTGTGCTGCAGTTTCCCGTCTGTGAAATCACGTCAATAGCAGTACCTATCTCACAGGGTTCTTGGTGAAGACCCACTTTAAGTGATGTCAGACACATAGGATTTGAAATACATACGTAAAGTGTTACTGTTACACGTATTTTCACGGCAATGATGGCAGTGATTGTAGACCATGAACTGGCTGAGGACAGGGGTTGTATTCTCCTCACCTAATTACCCCAGCATGAAGAAGAATGTCTGGCACGTCGCTGAACGTGGGCACACGGCTTACTGAATGGAACTGTTTGAACTGGACCGAGGACTCAAGCCCAGGGACGCTCCCCACCCGCCTGGCAGGGAAGGAAGCGGCCACCTTATTCCTAGGCTGCAGTCTGCAGCAGCTTAGACCCCCACCGGATGCCGTCCCAGGCCCTGCATATCCATCACCGAGGCAAGAGGTTTACCTTAATATTGCAGTTGTCATCGAGCAGTATATTTTCCAGCTTCAAGTCCCGGTGGACCACGCCATTCTGAAACGAGCAGGCGGACAGGGAACTGAATGGCAGCGGATGGGATGAGAGGGAGAGAAGGCGGAGGCAGAGCAAAGGGAAGTCTGACAGATGAAAGATGCGCCAGCCCGGTGGTCTTTGCCTCCATCCTTCAGGGCTGCTCTGACTGTCATGAAGCTCCCGCCAGAGACCGGGACAGCAGAGCATTAGTCACTAGCTGTGTGGTTAAGGGAAAAATGACTGGAATCCATTCTCCCCCAGAGCCTGCAGAACAGCAGGGGGACCCTTTGTCGGAAAGCCAGTCCACCGTGTGAAAGCAATCCAGTCCCAGGTGGCGGCAAACGATCTCGGTCTGTGATGTGATTCCCAGGGAAGCAGCAGATTTCTCTGCTGGGGACTAAGGATGCAGGGCTCCCAGACCTCGCTTGTCTGTCTGTCTGTCTGTCTGTGAGTCTGCCTGCCTCCTCGATGCTGGCAAGAAGCCTGGTTCACTCTGTCTGAGGATAACAGAGATGCTACCAAGGGTGTTTCCCAAGCGGCTGGGAGGGAAGATTTTACAAGTCCATCTGTGCTCGGCAGGACTCATGTAGGTGAAGGGTGAAGGTGGGAGGGGTCGGTGAGACCACAGCCACTGGGCTGACCAGAGCAGGTGGCTGCCATCCTGGCTGACCTTTCCATTCAGGCAAACTCTGGCAAGGCCGGAAGCCGAGTGCAGGGACAAGCAGCCAGCCGGCTACGAGGTGAAAAGGAGTCATCAGCAGTAACAACTGGTGTGCTCCAGCCTCTCTCAAAGCCCAGTCTCTTTCGGGGGTGGGGGTGGGGGGTGGGGAGGATGAGTGGAACTGAAAGAACCAGCTCTTTGGGGCTGGGCAGATAATTAGCAGGACGTTTTTAACATGATTCACTATAAAGGACATTTACAATCTAAGCTGCTCTTTTAAGCAAACTGGCTAGGAATTCTTTGTCTTCCAGTCAAAATCTCCTTCGTTCAGAATCTGCCTGTTTCTAGTTGGTTTTTTCTTATTCTCCTTTCCAGTTGACAGTTCCTAACATTTCCAAAAGCACTGATCGGAGAGAGGAAAATAACATGTATTTCTGTGACTCTTTCGAATCCAAACCGTCCAGGGTGTGCTGTGAATTCAGAAATGCACAAACCCAGGCTCCTGGAGGAAAGATACAAAATACAAGGTGCCTAATTCTGCTTTATTTTTAAATACAGGGAGTAGAGTGGTTTACATGTCGCATTCCTGGTTTTCACAAGAAGATGGAATTAGTCTAATCAAGTCCCATACATAGGAAATCCAAGTATTCAGACACTTCAAACAATAAAAACACCGTCTGCAGTGTTTTTTGATGATGCCCGCTGATAAAACACAAAATGTTGTATGATCTGAATCATCGGGGCCTTGAGTCAGCAAGAAGTCAAATAATGTTCACATGGGTTACGGGCTTTTGATCTGAATAATCATTTTCTAATTACTCCCAGAACCACTATCAATTAGCCAAAATGCTTGGCAAACCAGGAGACCCTGTACTGCGATCATCTGTATGAAGAAGCTGGCTGTTCTGAACACTATGTTGGATTCAAGTCACTGTTGTCCTCAAAGTGAATGACTGTTTAAGGCATGACAGTTCTGGGGGAAAGTATAAATAAGAGGATTAATAACAACAATGGCTGAAATTTGTCTTGGAGTTATCTGGGGACTTCATTTCGTTCTCCGGAGACCCATGGGCTAAAGTATGGCTGTATCAGGAGCACATCCCATCAGGTATGTTGTGACAGGATGTCTATGAGTATGTATAGGTGACCCATGTGGATGTGATCGATGCAACAAAAGGTTCAAAAACTATGGTGGAGTAATTCCAATTCTGGAACATCTTGTAAGGAAACTATTCAAAAGAGAGGAAAAGGTTCATGTGTAAAGATGTTGATCACTATTTATAATAACCAGAAATTAGAACCAGCCCAAATGTCCAATCATCACAATAATTACAGAGAATTTTTAGTAACATAGGAAAATGTTTAGCTTAAAATACTGAGTAAGTCCTGGCCGGTTTGGCTCAGCGGTTAGAATGTCAGCCCAAGGACCAAAGAGTTGTGGGTTCGATTCCAGTCAAGGGCATGTACCTCAGTTGCAGTTTGTCCCTGGCTCTGGCAGAGGTCCTGCAGAAGGCAACTAGTCGATGTGTCCCTCTCGCATTGATGTCTGTCTGTCTCTCTGTCTCTCTCTCTTTCTCTCCCCTTTTCTCTTCCTCTCTCCCCCTCCCACTCTATCTGAAGATAAATGGAAAAATATCCTCGGGTGAGGATTAAAAAAAAATACCAAGTGAAAAAGCAAGATACAAACTATGCTAAAATCATACAATGTGTTACTCCTGGACCAGAGAAAAGACCACTGGTGGACAACTGGTGAAATCCAAGTAAAATCTGAAGTTTTGTTAATGGCAACGTAATGAACGTAATGGTACATTCATACTACAGTAATTTATGGTGGTAAGACATTACCATAGGGTTAGCTGAATCAGGGATACATGGGAACTCTCTGTACTATCGTGAAAATCTGCTGTAAATCTAAAATTATTCAAAATAAAAAGTTAAAATAAAAGCAAATGGTAAGAGTGGGAGGAATGAGATTGGAAAGAAACAAATAAAAATGTCAACAATGGCCCTGGCCGGTTTGGCTCAGCGGTTAGAGCATCGGCCTGCGGTCCGGAGAGACCCGGGTTCGGTTCCCGCTAAGGGCACGTATTTCGGTTGCAGTTTGTCCCCGGCCCTGGTTGGTCATGCGGGTGGCAGCCACTCGATGTGTCCCTTTCACATCGATGTTTCTCTCGCTCTCTCCCTCCCACTCTATCTGTACAAAAAATGGAAAAATATCCTCGGGTGAGGATTTAAAAAAAAAAAAAATGTCAACAATGGGTTATCGCTGGATTCTGGAATTGAGTGATGGTAATTTTCTTCTTTCCATTTGATAAATTCTCCATAAGTACCACAATGAACAGACATCACCCTTATCATGCGAAAAAAAAACAACGTGCTGCATAAAAGCCATCCGTGGGCAGCGCTCCGGCCGCGCGGTACCTTGTGACAATAGTGGACGGCCGAGACGATCTGCCGGAAGAAGTGTCTGGTCTCCCTCTCGCTGAGGCGTCTGCGCTCGCTGATGTAATCATACAGCTCCCCTTTGCTGGCGTATTCCATGATGATCACAATCTTATCTTTGTTCTCAAACACTGTGTGGGGGGGGACAGCAATACACAAACACTGTTTATCCAACCATCTCATTATGACTGGGACAGCAGAGATGTCACTGAGCGAGGGTTGGGGCAAACAGCTACCGACCAGGACAAAAGTGGGCCATTCAGCATCATGAGGAGTTGGGCAATTTTTCCAACCAGGTGGACAAGGGCATCATCACCACTGTTACTAGACACCCCGTTGTCACATTAAGGGAACATGCCTCTCTTTTCTGAGGACCCCACTCCCTTTACCAGGATCATTCTCACCAGCCCCTTCCACCAGAACAGTACCCCTATAAAAGGCATAATGGGTAATAACAAACACAACTACCATTTATTAACCATTTGATAGGGACCAGCTACCTGGACTTCATAAGCTACTCTGACCCAAAGTGGCTGGCTGATCTTGTCACCTCTTTACTCAAAATCATCCAGACTTCCCATCTCTCTCAAAATAAAACCCAAAGTTCCAAAGGTGGCCCACCAGGTCCTATATGATCCTGTGGACCCTTCTTAGCCCTACTGCACTTGTCTTCTGCGTATTTGTTTATTTTGTCTCCTCCGTTAGTAAACGAGGGTTGTTCTATTTCACTCACGGAGGTCTCTCCAGCACTCAGCATGTTGGCATAGGGGCTCAATTAATAGTTATTAAATGAGTGAACTCAAAACTTCCTGAGTGCATGCTGCACAACCACAGTAAATAACTACACATCACTAAATGCTTCTCTCCCAACCCGGATATTCTCAAGCAGTGACATTCAAAACTCTGCTCATCTGAGTTCCTGGAGTCCCAGGCAGACGCCCGGGGGCCGGGCCAGGGGAGGCCTCGAAGGACAGGCTCCTGGTCCTCAGCACTGCCTCAGCCACAGGGACTCCATCGCTACGTCTCAAATTTTGGGCTTTCACCTAAAATGTCCTTTGAGCAAAGACAAAATGAGTAATAATTGCTGTTGAAATCTAACACTCCCAAGCACTATACAAACAAACAAACAAAAACCTTTGTAGGCTACCTAAGACCCTCCCTGAAGGACCCCCGCCTACCTTCCTCCATCTCGTCAGCTTCCACCAATCACGGCCAGGCCCGCTATGCCCACTAATGCAGGACTGTTTGCTTGCTGCCCCTCTCTCTCTCTCTCTCTCTCTCACACACACACACACACACACACTGCTGTTTTTCCGGCCAGGGAAAACTGAACTCATCAATTAAGAATGGACTCAAACATGACTTCTATGTTGCCCTCCTTCTGCCTCTCCCTGTACTAACCCACACTTGCCTCACAGGACTTTCAAACTACATGACTATTATCTGCTGGTTTACATATCCAGTTCCTCTGCCTGGGCTTTGAGAGGTAAGAACGGTAGTTTGGAAACCAGACACTACCTAAGTAGGATTTCTGGATCCGCCTCTTACTTGCTGTGTGACTCTGGGGAAGTTGCTTGCCCTCTCTGTGCCTCAGTTTAGTCAACTGTAAAATGTGCATAATATTAGTAAGTACTTTTTAGAACTGCCAGGGGAATGTATTGACATTAGGTATGTTCAATGCTTCGAACAGGGCTTGCACTTACGGCATGCACTCAATGTCAGCTATTATTATTGGTATCAATATTATTGGACCCCAGGGCCTACTACTGAAACACATGCGTGCGCACGCACGCACACACACACACACACACACACACACACACAGGAGAACGCGTTGAACTGGAATGTGCCCCAGGCCTGGTCCACTGTCCTCCCACACCTTGTCACTGGCTGCTAGAAGCTCAGGCCCCTCCAGTTCCTTTTTGGCTCCTTCAAGTCCGGCCAAACCTCTCTGATAAAATGAAGGGGGGAGGAGGAGGGCAGGAGGAGGAGACGAGAGAGAACAGCCAGATGAAATTGGCTGCTCCTGCGTCTGCTGGCCCCGGTGTGCCCTGTGGCTCCGGCTCCTGCCAGGGATTTCAGCCTGGTGTGCACTTTTCATTAACAATAAACTCTGGAAACTGAAAAAGCTGCCTCAGGATGCAGGGTGCAGGCTCCCACAATGACAGAGTGCGAGCCCCTAAAGAAGGCAGAGGGTTTTCTCATTTTAAAGGGGGCAGAAGGAGGAAGAGAGATGGAAAGGACTTCGACAGAGAAAAACCAGGAGCTTCACGCCCCAGAAAGCCTGATGCCAAAGAGTAAAGGTCAAAGCCAGAGGTCCCTTTAGTGACTATGGAAGGTGTGGGTCAGCGGCTCCGGCAAACCAAAGGTCTGCTTCAGCGACGGGCTCCTTCCCCTCCCCGCCGGCTGACGTGGTACCAGGAAGACATCCAGTTCAACACACTTCACTACGTCAATTATTTTACTAAGCAGCTTCCCTCAGTAAGTCCTGCTGGTCCTACTTCTACAGTATATCCCGATCGTGTCCACCTGTGTCACGTCCCCAGCCACCCCTTGCTTCAAATACTCATCTCTGATTTCCCGTCTTTTGCTCTCGCCCCTCTGCTGGCTGCATTTAAAGGGGGGCTGTTCCAAGAAGCAGTAGCCTGCAAGCTATTCTGGAGGAAAACAGGGTTCCACGGTCAAACCGAGGTAACGTTTGGAAAATGCTAATCCTTGATGGCCCTTGGATAGTCTGGTTTCTTTAATTCAAGTTTTGTAGGTTGATTTGGTCATTTCAATATTTCTACTGAAACTCAGAGGAACTCAGCGGTTGGAGCGTCGGCCTGCAGTACAGAGAGACCCGGGTTCGGTTCCCGCTAGAGGCACGTACCTCGGTTGCAGTTTGTCCCCGGCCCTGGTTGGTCGTGCGGGTGGCAGCCACTCGATGTGTCCCTTCACGTCGATGTTTCTCTCTCTCTCTCTTCCTCTCTCTCCCTCCCGCTCTATCTGAACAAAAAAATGGAAAAATGTCCTCGGGTGAGGATAAAAAAAAAAAAAAAAAGAAACTCAGAGGAACTAGCCAGGAGCCAGTGTGGCAAACACCGGATGAGCGATATCCAAGTGATCCCCGCGGCCCCTTACTGTTGCAGGCGAGAAGTGTCCAAGTGGGTAGGGACCCCACCCTCACCCCTCCCATAGGAAGCCGCCGGAGCCTCGTGGTCAAGGCCCTGATTGTAACTCTAGATTAGCTAAAGGCAAACAACAGTTCTAGACTTGACGCATCAATGATTCCACAAGAAGGCCGCGTTGTTCCATACGTGAGGCTTCGAGAACCCTTCCTAGCAAAAGCAGCATTTAGTGAAGGTCTGCGATGCGCAAGCACTGTGCTCATAGCATTTTGCATGAATTATGTCCTATGGCTTTGGTCCCATGAGTCTCCCCATCCAACAGATGCGAGCCTGCGGACAGCGAGATTACCAGCTGCCATGGCCACCGAGCTCACACGACGCAGAGCCAGGCCCGAGCCCATGGTCTGACTGCACACTCCACGCTCTTCGTACTATTAGTCACATGAATTTACCCCCGACCCTCGGGCCCCTCGTCAGTCGGGGGAGGCCGTGAGCTCCAGCCTCCTCAGCACGGTCCCACGGCCGGTGCTCAATAAATGGAAGTTATTCTCACAATTCCTCCATCCGCCTCTGGCACAACAAAACCCTAAGGCCTGCCTCTCCCCGCCGGCATCGCAGAACCACAGGATTTTCAAGCAGAAAGAACCTTACAGATCAACTTTTATTTCTCCAGAGTAGCCCAGGCTTTACATCGTAGGAGAGCAAGGCCTTAGGGGTCTGTTCTAAAGAATGACCACCTTCCGCACCCTGGGCCCAAGGCTCCTTGCCACGGTCCGGCCACTGTCAGTAAGGTGACAGGAACGCTCTGGGCCATTCTTAGGGCAGAAAGGGCTGCTTCCCCTGGGCACTTTTACAACTGGTTATTTATAAGCCCAGAAATCTTGTCTGTGTTTATGTTATTAGTCACTAAGCAAAAGCTTATTTTCCACCAGTTGGGAAGGGTTTCCTTTCTGAAAAATGAAAGCCTGTGTCTCTTGGCCAGACAGTGTTACCCAGAAGCCCGGTGGCTCCAGAGTGGTAAGGAAAACTATGGCCCTTAACATGCCAGGCCCACCAGGAGAACGCAAGCCCTGAATAGAAACTTAGCTCAGCCAGAGTGAGCCCGCGGCGCTGGGGCCACGTCTCTGGGCGGCAGGCTGGGGTTTTCGTATCAGTGAGTTTTTATGCAGCACCCACTATGTCGAAGGCACTGGGGATACTAAAGGAAGTCTTTACGAGGTTAAGAAGGGGAGGAAAGGCTGGCCCGGGAGAAGGGAACGTGGGCGAGGGCAGAGACAGGAGCACCATAAGCAGAACGACCGGCAGTTGGCAGGTGCCAGGGATTAAGGGAAGAGAAAGGAGCAGCAAGCCTCGAATGTAACACCGAGGCCTTCGATGCCCACGGGAAGCTCTGTGGAGGAGGAGTCAGGCACGTGACCAGACATGGCCAAGAACAACAAGTACATAGAACAAAGGACAGGGCAGCATCCAGGGTCCTGCACCTATGAAGTAGTCCAGGGCTGTCTTCTCCCCAGGAGCCTCCAGACAGCGGCTGCTCCTTCCATGGAAGGCTTATTCATAATAATAGTAGTTAACATGTATCGACCAATTACTACATGCCCTGGATCCTCACATTTAATGCTGACACCCCCATGAGACAGGTAGTAATATTATCCCTACGTCATAAATAGAGAACCAGCATTCAAATCAAGAAGCAACGTGGCCAGCATCCTGCAAGCAACCCCAGGTCCTCTTTCTGTCACTACCCATCTCCCCAAGTGTGTGTGTGTGCTTGTATGCGTACACATATATCTACCAATATCATGAGAATCGTAAACAGAAGCCAATATCACACAGATCAGTTTGGCATGTCAAGTTTTCTAAAAATGAAATCATGCAGTACGTTATTCTTTTGTGTCTGCCTTCATTAGCTCAACTTTGTGTTTGTAAGAACAATCCATGTTGTTCCATGTAGTCAGAGACTGTTCGCATCCATTGCTGCAGAGTTCTCCACGTTGTGAATGTATCAGGGTTTAGTTATC